ATATACATATATATATATATATATATATATATATATATATATATATATGTATATACGTATTCCTCTACATTACATATATCTTGATTTTGTTAAGAAGCATAAAAAAAAGATACGCAACGCGACGGTAGGATCCTTCATTTATGGAATCCTGCTTGAACATTTCCAAATTAAAAATAATATTCCACAAACAATTTTCCGCTAAGAGCACTAATTTTGTTTCAATTATAATTCAAATGCGCTAAATTAAACACTAAAATATCACACACCCGCTTTCCTCAACCTCGCGCAACATAAACTAAGAATTAACAGAGCTCCGATGCTTCCGTAACACAACTGAATGCTATAGTTAACAGTAAGCGCTGAAGAGAAATTTTAAAAGGGCAATGTTAACCATAACAGCGCAAATGTAATGTAAAAGAGCTAAGGCATATCAAATCTTTTAAAAAGCGCAATGTTAAACAGAACTAGCAACTGTCATGTTCTCCATGCTGGCTAAAAATAAACAGCTGTTGCATGAAGATTTAACTATCGATAAAGATGTATTGAAACGCTTTATTATCGATATTTTCTTGCACGATATAGCATTACCACTAACCACAAAACCACGTTTCCTTTGGTTAGTGGTATTACTGTCGACCGACTCACCGGACGCTCCACCAAAAATTAACAGCTGGTATTAGATTGCAATAATACAGATACATTTGATGATACCTTTGAATCAAAATTTGACTTAAGCCGGACCATCCCTTCATTTATTGTTGGATTTAAACTTAACTTTATTAATTAAAGGTATATACATATGTATATACATATGCATATATACAATTAGTATTTTACAGTACTTTAAAAGTCGGAAATATGTAAAAGCATTTCTTGTAATGTGTATTTTAGAAATCCCATCGGGAATTGCGTCGCCCATTTGGTTCATCTAAGTGGGAAACTATCTACATACATAGGTATAAGAAAAAGGCGAAATTTCGGTATTACAGTTTTGATCAAATATACTTCTATACTAAATTCCAATTCATAAGTTTATTTTAATATAATAATATTATTAATATAATACAGTGTGGAAATAAATTATTGACATAGCAAGCACTTTAAAATGTATATCAATTTTTAAAGTATTTCTAACAGTATTTTTTAACAAAACAAAACTTGCCGAAATAGTATTTATTTATATATTGGTATTTATTATATTGTTATAGCCCGTATCTTTTTTTCCCAAAAGTGTTCAATTCGGAGATTGTGGTAAGTACGGTAGCACATGGGCGGAGTTATATGCCACCCACATTTTGACGATATAGGCAGAATGCTTGGGGTCATTGTTATGTTGAAATGTGAATGTGCTTGGTAGTTGTAGCTTCTCGGCACTTTTTATTTAAGGCCATCTGTCGAAATATTTAAATAAAAATGTTTGTCCACTATACCGTCTACAAATACCAACTCGCCCACACCTGGAGCACACATGCAGCTCCAGACCATCACCCCACAACCACCCAGCTTAACTCTTGGCGTAATATTGTTTTTGTCAAATGCAGTATTCGGCTTTCTGCAAACAGTTTTATGCCTATCCGAACGAAATATTTTATATTTGCACTCATAACAGAACAAGACTTAATCAGATGGCTTGCTAAAATATTCCTTAGCGTCGTCCAAGCGCTTCTGAACTCATTGAAAATGCCAAATTAGGTTATAATGGTTTTGTGATCAGGGCGACTGAGTTGATTTAGTCTTGTCTTCTATCCGCATGTTTGAACGCGTCGATCTCATTATACCGATACGATAACTTGTCCCGTTATTTTGATATCGATTAAAAACATCGAAAATCAGTAATAAGTTTTTATCTGCTACATCTTTAAAGCTAGAGTCGCCAAATTTAAAATGTATATTCATATGTATTTCGGTTTTTGTAAAAATTCACCCCCCACCCTTATATCAACCCCTCGCCCTCATATTTGTAAAAGGCGTGTTTCAAATACTAGTGCTTCGGAATATACACACATTTAAATATTATGATTACGTTCTGAAAGTTTCAGTAAGATTGTTCGTCTAGAAATTAAATTATTTAGCAAATAGGTATGGACTTAATTCGAAGTATAAAGAGATTTTGTAGGAGACTCGTGATAACTTTTAATTAATGAGAGATTCGAAATAACGCAGGTTTGAAATAAGAAGAGTCGACTGTATTATCAAAACTGCAGCGCAGCCCAATCGCAATCGCTATTTACTGCGCAGTTACCAAAACGCCTGCGTACTAGAGACTTGTACTTTGGCAAATGTATGCAGATTCATGCTATAATCTTAATCTAAAAGTTTCATCGACAAGAAGTTATAAAACATTTAATTTCCTATAGTAAGCCTACACTGTCGCCAATGCGTGTTTTTTACGTGCGTGCGTATGCCTGTGTGTGCGCGTGTGCATGTGCAAATAATTATTGAAACATCAGCTGCTAGCAAAGTAAATATCTTCTTGATCAGGGCGACCAACGGAGTCGATTTGGCCCTGTCCGTCCGTATGTACATATGTATGTATAAGAGCTAAACTTGAAATTTTTTTCTTAGGTTCGTATATATCACGCACATAGCGAGTTTATCACTAAAAATCGATAACTGCTCCCGATATTTTATTATCGATTAAAATGCTTATCGAAAGTTAGTTAATTATATATCCTATACCTTTAGAGCTAGAGCTTCCAAATGTAACTTGTGTATTTTATTTTTTGTTGTAATTTACGATGTCTCTTTTAGCTTAGGTTCCATTATCAAGAAAAGTTAAAAAAAAATATGCTCGGATGTTGCAAAATTTTCTAAACTAAAATTCAAACATAACAAAAGTAAAATTGCCAAAGAAAATTTGCCTCATCGGTTAAACTATATTTGTATAATAAAATACCATTTTCTGTTTCGGCAATTTTTTGTTTTATTATATATATATATCCTGTGTGGTCATATATTTTATTTACGTAAAAGTTAATATTTTTATGTAAACCTTAATTTGGTATACTAATAAAATACAATCTGTAGATAAATCATCATATATCTTAATATATTTTACAAAGAAATGTCAGTAAAGTTACATTTTTTCTCTTGACGCACCTTAGGTATACTTCTATAATCAGCATAATGCACATAACATCTCAGATTTACTGTAAAATGAAATAAAATTATGATATCAGACAATACATAAATAATTTAGTTTTGCTAATAATAACTAAAATCAGCTGTTTAATATTTTGCGTTGGATTGGAACAGTTCTCTTCATGGTAGATCGAAGCGAGCTGGGTAAGTTTGTCATCAGAGTAGGATCTAAATTACTTTCTCAGAAAATTACTA